ATGTGAGAATGTCTTCTTGGAAATGTCTACGCAAATGTCTGCGCACAAATATTTGTGGTCTGAGTCCAAGTTGCCACTGTCAACCGGCTCTTATGTCAATCGTGATTGAATTTACTAAACGTTTATTAAAAGAAATAAAAAATTGCGAATAAGAATTGCGAAGAGTAAGAAGTTTTATTATATCAATGGAAATAATTTTTGTTAAATTACTATAACTAGTCCTTACACACATATATATATATATATATATATACATACGTGTGAGAGAAGTTTAAAGTCATTCGTTCGTTATGTTCTTTTTAGGTTAGATGTTAGAGAGCTTTTTGTAATTGTTAGACGTTGTCCTCGAAGAACTATCTTTAAGGTCTGCTCTTGACTCAAAACGATTATTAAGAAGTGCTTTGCTTAACCTTGAAAGAAGAAAGTGATCATTTAAAGTTAAATGAATTGAGTACAGAACTCTCGGAACAATCTTTATTTAATCTTCTTTTCTTTTTTTTTTTTTTTCAATTGATCAATACTTATGACAGTATATGAAAATATATTTAATATACAAACTTGTTGCTGTTGTGGCCAAAATTTCAACGACGTTGAAAAGCTAGAGAATATGTCTTGTTAACCGCTCGATTCTATGGAGGGAATTTCTTATGAATAACATCACTACATCGAAATACGTAAATCTATGTCTTATCAATCATCACTCATTTATGTGGACATAACGAGAGAAAATACAAGCGAGACAAAGCCCAAGTCTGAAACATCTCTTAGATACACACAGTATGATAACACATGAAAAATTATACATTATTTTTATGTAAAAGGCATCCTTTAATGAAAGCCCTCATACTGGTGGATGCTTAATACGTCAAATAACATCAAGTTGGACGTATTTGTCAAAAATTTCATTATTATTCATTTGCTTCTTTACTTCGTACCCATTCGATTTTGCCGCCACACAAGGCCTGACCTTCAATGGGAGCTCCTATACATGGTAGGATGTGAAAAATAGATTGATATAATCCATATTCTCTAGGGAGAATTTTTCAACAATACTTTAATCAATCAGGGCTTATTTTCATTTCGAAGCCAAATTTGATACATTTAAGTATTATATCAAATTACTCTTATGAAACAATTTCCTTCATAGAGTATCAAAAGCTGGACATTTTCGCCATATAAAGGGTTATTTTTCATTAGAACTCTTTTAGAGGTTGGCAACCAGAAGACAGACACACTTGGTCCAAATTCAGTACAGTACTATTGTTATTAACGAGGGAAATTGAAAATTGGACATTTCTACAATATAAAGATTCAATTTGAATGGCCCAAAGAATTGCCGCATCCGATCCAAACCTTGTCACACTAATCTAGAATGCCGAATTCTTATTATTAAGCGATTTTTTTTTCGCGATATTCCGAATATTACAATATTTCTTCATACGGCGACTATTCAAAATAAAGCGTTATATGTCGCGCGCCAAGTGGTCCACGTGCAAATCATTTTCAATGGAGTTCATCAAAACATCTTAAAAATTGCAACTTTCAACTTGAACAACAAGATTACGTTGACAGATATCAGGCAGAACAGTCAGACGGACAGACAAGCTTAGATCACTATAACAACAAGAAGAGAATCTAACCCAAATCCTTTTGGATGTTGTTGTATTCATCCGCGCAGACCTCGTATCACATGAGATGTAGGTTATAAAAAATGGATTAAATTTCCTAGAAAAACAAATAAGAACATTATAGTCGGGCAACGCCTGACTATCCTATACAACTTCTCCTAGTACAGTTATTCGCTCGTTTTTGGTTTTCGTAATAACGCCTATATATATATATGTTAGGGTCCAGAAAATAGACTTGATTTCTTTGTGAATTTACTATCATAAGTCAATTTTCATTAGTATTGAAAATTAGACATTTTTGCCAAATAAAAATTCAATTTTCGTAGAACCGGTAATAGGAGAAGGGAATTCAAAAAATTATCACAGCCGGACCAAAGTTTTCACACTAATCTAGAATATCGAAATAAATTGTAAATTTTTTCTGATAACTACTTTTCAGAATAGGGCGTTATATGGTGAGTATGTATGGTCGAAAAAGTGAAGCGATTCAAATCATTTTCAGCAGAGTACGTCCTTGAGTTAAAGCATGTCGGTACACCAAATATTATCAAAATAACTCGAAGACTGCGACATGTAGGTTGAATTTTCATGCACGTACATCAGCGCAGACAGCTAGGCAGATGGGTCTATCTTAAGCCATTCTGCGTGTTACATACGTCCGCACTAAGTTAATATACCCTGTACCACAAGTAAGGTAAGGGGTAAAAACATATGTAGAGATAATCGCCAGGCGTTTTAAATCAAGAGTTACGCTGAAAAGAACATAAGCGTTTAAGGAAGCATTATTTAGTTTATGCGTTTCGGTCAGGCTCTCCTTGTTGAACTTGTCTCAAAAATTGAATTGAAAACTGTATTTTATATTTGATTTCAATAGATTGAGTTTGAAAATAAAATCGAATATAGAAATCGCATGATTCGGTTTTAATTTCTCTTCATTTTTTGTTGTAATTGTGAAAGAAATTTGCTTAAGCCCGTCGTAGGTCGGTAATAGCCAGCAGCCGTGCCTGCCAATTAATTAACAAGCCGAACACATAAAACCTAAGCAGTATTGTCAACAAAAAAAAAAACAAAAAAAAAAAAAAAACAGAAAAAAAAGTACAATCGCAACAAGTCAATCAATGATCAATGATCAATGATCGCATTGTGCGAAGAGCGATTATTGAATTTGCGAGCGCATATTTTCAATTAGAAGCAAAGTAAATAAACAAATAAGTTAAAATACGGGCAAACTCAGACAAAGAAACAAACTGACGCAGCTACCTTGCATCAAAGCATCGCATCAATGATCGAGAGTGTATATACGTTGCGTAGTTACCGATGAAACGCCCTGTTTTGAGAAGTCAAGTTATATTGGAAAAAAAAGGGCAATTTTTATAATTTCTTGACAAAAGTGGCTAAGTAGTAACATTTCGGCATTTTAAATTCGTATGAAAACCTTGGACCGGCTATGGCCATTTTTTGAACTCCCTCATGCTTCATGATAAATATTATATCGTAATAGTAATTTAAAATATAAAAAAATTAACTTTTTAGTAAATTTAAACCATATCGGCCTATTTTTTGGATCCTGAACCTAACAAGGATTTCCATGAAAATTGCAAAAGGAAGATCCAAGTTTTAATATGTAATGATTAAAACTCACAAATAATAATAATTTCATACAAAAGTAGGAATTGTGTTAGACAATCCGATTTAGGGTGTTTAATAGTCGGTCTTATCTGCCTCTAATGTTCTCACTTGTTTTCTTATAACGTTAATAGTAGCATAGCAAGAAGAAGTCGTAAACGTGTGGCACTTGAGCGCGTCACAATAAATGATTTGACACTTCAATGTGCGTTTAAGAGAAAATAGCTTATGACTGATTGATCAACGTGATCCGGTACACGGTATTTAAATGTATGGCATTAAATTGAAGACAGGATTCTTATTTAACAAGCTTCGTACACGACAGTCTCGTATTAGAATTAATTCATTCGTTCATTTCCTTTAGAATAAGAAGAGAAAGACTAATAACATGCTTTTCTCCTTCTTTCTTATACTATAAGAGACGAGGTGCACTTGTATCGTTATTTATAGGAGTTAACTGTCCAACATTCGAACATTTCAATATTCATATCTGGGTGCGGTTTTCTAAAATATATACAACGGATATAATTGTCTTTCTTACTTGAAATAATATTTTCATAATATTTTAATCAATAATTAAATATCTCTCTCTCTCTCTCTCTCTGTGATCAATTAATATGAAATACATCAGCACTTATGGATTGTAGAATGAGAGAAAGAAATGTGGCGCCTTTCTGTAGCTTTCTATTAACTTTTTAAATAATTTCTTTACAATAATACAAAAAAAAAAAAAAAAAAAAAAAAAAAAAAACCTAAAATTATTAATTATAAATGATGTCAAAGTATTGAAAAATTATTGCTTTTTTATTCCAATAGATTTTTATTGAACAGATTTTTTTCAAAGGCAAAGAAAGAATCAAGCAACAAAGTGTTCTTAACAAGACTAGATTTTATTTAAGCAATGAATTTATGACACAATCACAAAATCTTTATACACATAGATACGAAGAAACAAATCTATGCCTGCGCTCATATACATATTACAAACTATATGACATGACTTTTTCGTCTCTTGATTTGATTTCGAATTGAAAGAATATTCGGTCACTTGGTCACAAATAGCGAAAGCTATCAAAGTTATCTGCGTAAGTACTCGTTTTTTAAAAACAATAAATTAATTTAACGAAAAACTCCCGCCAAGTTACCGCGCGCGCACGCATTTACTTATTTCAAATATCTATATGCCTGCGTATACATATACGCGTGTGTGTGTGTGTGTGTGTGTATATATATATATATATATATAAAATATAGTTGGCCCATAAGAAAAATTGTATACAAGTAAAAATAAGCAAACAAGCGAACAAGCAAACACTTAATTGGCTCATACTTGTAGATCAATTTATGCGTTACTTTTAAGTTAAAAAAATTGATAAACCCCCTCTTAACCACGCATTTATTTTATTGTGTAATTACATTAAGTCATTTATTGTATTTTAATTTTTTTTCTATCTATATATTTTGTTTTTTTGTTTTTTTTTTTGTTGTTTTTTTTTTTTTACTTTTACAGATGTTGAATAAAACTGCTACCGCAATTTGCATTCCATGAAATCGCAATGGCCAATAAACGGAGGAGATATTAAAAAAACGATAAAATTTGATAAAGCTGCGAACAAGAACACGCCTCATCAATTGATGGCGTACATATTTTGCAAAAGAACAATTTAATTATTCGTATTTTCAAATAAGCGGTTAAATGTTAATTTTTTTCATTATTTGAAAGAAGAAAAGAAAGCAAACGAAAACGGGAAAAGGGGAAAGGAAAAGATATTCACGTTCGCAAGAATAGGAAAAAAGGAAAGAAGTAAAGGAGTTACGCGGAAGCAAAAGAAATATATCGCATATACGCGTTATCCGTAACAGCAATACATATATAAATAGCTGACGAAAAGGAAATCAAAAGCGCAGCGAGCGATCACGACTATCACTTTTCCCAATTATGGACTCACGAATCGGCCTCGATTATATTGTCGAAAATCGTGATTACATATCAAAATTAGGCACCGCCTTGGATACAAATAATGTCGTGGTTAAAAAACAAGTCTTTGAATTACTATCAGCTTTATGTGCCTATAATGCAGACGGTTACGCTCGTGCCATTGAAACATTAGAATTTTATAAGGTAATCAATGCTCCTCTTTTATTATTATTCTAATCATTTATTTTAATATCTGAATAAAAATTCTTAACAATTACCAATTATCAGTATAACGTTTATTATTGCCATAATATTGCAACATTTCAAAGTTGGCTATGAATTGTTTAATCGTTCCGTAGCTAGCTATGTAACTAATCTCAGCGGTGGCATGATCCTGTCCTAACTGAAACAACTAAGTAAGTAAGTTGCACTCGTCTCATGACAATGAAAACTTAGCAAATTCGTCTTAGTCTTAGTTTATGGTCGTAGAAAAATGACTTGATTCGCCCTCAACAGCCGTTAATCGATAACTTATAATTATGGCAAATATTGATTTGAAAGCTGGTACAAACGTTAGTAAAATAAATTGAAATGAAATGAAAAAACAAGTGAAAATACTGCAGTACCCACCCTACTCGACTTCATTTTATATAGTTACTCATATGACGTCCTTTCAAAATAACGCCTTATATGAAGATATGAATGATCCGATCCGAACCATTTTTTATAGCCTTTCGTCCTTGAATCGAAACCAACGAAAATTCTACCAAATTTTATCAAAATATTTCAAAAATTGGCGACATTTAGATTGAACACAAAAATACAAGACAAGGAACAGACAGACAGACGGACAGCATAGCGTAGACAATTGTCTCCTTTTCTTGCAAACAAATATCGTAGAAAAACTAATCGTAGATAGTAATAAATTTGATTCAAGTTACATAAAATTTCTTCGATTCATTTAATTTATTTGGATCTACACTTGTTTGTGGGCACTGTCACGAAACGCAAAGTCTTCCAATATGCGTGAATCACGGTACTAGGTGAAGCGGTGTAGGGTATATAATGATCGGCGTCGACCGACTATAATGTTCTTACTTGTTTTACATAATTTATCTACACTTTTTGCTCTATTGGAAGTCACGTTTTACTCATGTTTTACTCAGCAATCACTTTTAGCCTATCTAACGAGGCACTCTTCGGATCTGTTTTTTTTATTGGAAGAAGTGCTACAATATTGTCGAAGATCGTTTCACGTACACTTACTAAGAATGCTTATCATCCCTTTTTAAGGCAATAAATAGCACAAGTATATTTAGCTCCGTTTATTTAATTGATTTTTCTTCTTCACCTTTTATCATCCTCCTCAAGTTCTCGGCACAAATTTCCTTTAAAAGACTAAATTAAAAAAATTTTTACATCATTAAAGGCAGCCACAATTACGCCTTGCAACGTTACAAGGCGTATGCTTTTTTATTCGCCCCCCTCCCCGGGTGTATAAAGATTCGTTACAATATCGCTCCATGTGCCCGGGTCTAAATTTAAAGTTTTTCCATATCCAACCGTAATAATGATATCTTGCATGAATTACTATGTGACCAGAGAGAGCCTGTACATCAGAGTCATGCCAATGCTATGAGTACCTCGTGACTTTAACATTTCGCCCGGTATTGAAATATTCGAAATGTCCCTCTAAATGAATTTCTAAATTCCAGCCAATTTACGAATTCACACACATATACATGTTGAAATTGGTATACTTAAAGTTGAAATATGATTTTGGCAAAAGTCGGCCACTTCCAGAATATGGCAAAATTTAACGTAAAATTCAAGTAATACGAAAGTGAAAAAACATAAATTTTAACCCTATGTTCTATATTCTCTTTTTTCTTCTAGAATCTCAAAAGCGAACGTTATCGATTTAAGATTGTCATTAATGAATTGGAAAAGGCCACTAGTGTCGACTATCAGGTTGCCCTCTTGGCGTTCATCAATTGTGTAATTATATCAGCGACAAATTTACAAGATCGAATTAGGATACGTAATGAATTAATAGGTGAGTGATAACGACGTTACAAAGGAAATATATTTTAATATTTCTTTCTTTCTACTTCGGGAACATCTAACTAACATTAGTTATAAATATTAATAAAACTGCAATTCTATGACAATAAAAAACGCAAGAAAAACTCGGTTTTTATTGTTTTTTTTTTTTTTAACGAACACGTACGTACGACGTCCTTAGCGTATTATGGAAAGCAAGTAGAATGTAAGGTAGCCCGGTTAACGCATTCGTCATATACACAATACACAATATTCCCACAATTTAATATAGGCAAAGTAAAAATTTCTTAGGAGCGCTACACTTACATTTATTAACATAAGATATTCAAAGATCGTTACAGTTAACATGAACTATAAGTTAATAGCAACAGATTGTCGTGAAAGATCAAATATTGCATATTCCAATCAAGGATTGGTTCAATTAATTTCTCAATTTTCAGTTCAAGTGAAGTTTTGAACTAGAAAAGTCTTAAGATCGTAAACGAAATCAATTAATAGATGAATCGATTTTCCTTTTTATTTTAACTTGAAGTTAATTTTTTGACCTTTTTTAACTTTGTTTTTCTTTTTTTTTCTTTTTTTTTTTTTCTTTTTTTTGTTGTTCCAATCAAGGATTGGTTCAATTAATTTCTCAATTTTCACTTGAAGTGAAGTTTTGAACTAGAAAAGTCTTAAGATCGTAAACGAAATCAATTAATAGATGAATCGATTCTCCTTTTTATTTTAACTTGAAGTTAATTTTTTGACCTTTTTAACTTTGTTTTTCTTTTTTTTGTTTATATGAACAATCACTAAGGGGATGTCCCTTATTTGTATAATACGGTGACGGCTAGAAAGAAAATTTGAAATTTGAACCCGTGAACGTTAACTTGATTGTTGCGAATTTTACTTATTCCGCTACTTAGGCGTTAGGCCGTTACTGCTCATTTGGACTTTGAAATTAAATCTCTTAATATTCTTTCTTCTTCACCTTTACTTTAAATTAACAATTAAGAGCATTTCTCTCTTCGCGGGAAGGGAGGGAATTTTTCTCTCAATGCTGATAAACTGCAATAATAAAACAATTTTCTTTGAATAGATATAAAAATATTCAACTGTCAAGTCAAAAATTTCCCACTCTATAAAAAAAAACAAACATATTTACCTTATCCCTAGCTGACTATGGAAATAAGTCATATTGAAAGGCTCCGAGATTTTTTCCGCCGTTTCGAGCTTCATTATGTAGCCTACTCTTTTCAAATGATTCCAAACTGTCATGTAATTGATGTTTACTGCCTCTGCTATTTTCTGATAGCTTGTGTGCCGGTATTGCTCCACCAGTTCTAAAATTTTATCGACTTTCCAGTGACCGCGAGAGGTATCTTTGACATCGAAATTTCGGGAACCGGATCGAGCAAACCATTCCTGGGGTCTTCGTTCACTCACACCATTCTCGCTGTATACTTCACAACATTTCTCTTTTCTCTTTTGCAGCGTTTTTACCTTTTTTATAGTCAAAAATCATTACGTAGCGTGATCCTCCAGATATTTCACTCATTTTTAAATCAACACAACTCCTTACACGAACTAAGAATTAGAAAACTATTTTCACAAGAAATTTAAGTTGAAATGTCAACTTTTTGAGCACATACATGCTCGTTTGAGACAATCAGGTAAGTGTTGCCCAATCAATAGTTTCCCGTGAAAAGAACCGCGTAGAAGTCTCACTATGACCTAATAAATAATTTAATAACTAAATTACAAAGCGCTCTCTCCTAACCAGCCACATGCCCCACGATAAGATGGAAAGGAAGAAAAAAAGTGCGAGACCTACAGCCAGTTGTTTTTTTTTTTGTTTTTTATACATACATATCTGCAATTGAATCTGTTTGCTTAACCGCAGCACGTGATAAATTACTTAATTCAATTGTGGTTTTAATGAGCAACTAAATGGTAAAATAATATAATTTGTATTTTTTTTTTTGTATTTTTTTTTTTTAATTTTTTTTTTTTTAATGAAAAGCCAATGAAATCATTGGCGCAATCATGAACGAGGACGGATCGTGTATCATGCAAATTATAAATACAAAAATTTTTTAATAAGCTCCGTTTTCGGTTAATTGAACAACTCCTTCCGGTCTCCTTAATAATCGATAAGCATATCATCACTAGTATACTTTATACTTATATCATAGAAAGCTTTCCAATACATTCATACGTTTCTCAATTGCGTACTAAATAAAAATAAAATATTTATATTATATATAATTTGTATATGTATTTGTGTGACATCGTACTATTATTTGGAATTTCACTGAATAATAATTTCAGAAATTTTATAAAAGCAATTTTACCATTTTTGGATGCATTGACGTGAAAATATTTTACTTTATAAAAACATACAATTTAAAGGCTCCCAATATGGTTTATAACTGAAACGAAAAAAAAAAAAACCAAACAACAAAAACAACAATAATAATAATAATAATAATGAAAAAGGAAAATCGAAACAAAGGCAAAAAAAAAAAAAAAAAAAAAAAAAAAACCACCAACAAAATAGAAACAATGATCGGCTGAAATTGTTTATAAGATACAGGTGCTCAGGCAGGCGGCCATACGTACACTCATGCGAAGATTACGTTCGGCTGGTGCAAAAAAAATCTTAAATTTGGACAATATGGTATAGCGCTTCCATTATATACAAACACTTTACATAGCTATCCTAGATGTAACTCTGACAACCGCTAAGCTCTCTCTCTCCATATGCAGTTATCCAAAATAGAAAATTAACACAAATATTTCATTTTCAAATAACTATCATTTTCGGTAATAATGCACACAAACACACACACACACACACACACACACACACACACACGAAAAGTGAACATTTCACAAATAATTGACACAGAGAGAAATGACATTACAATTAGGACCGGATTTTTTTGCTATAAACAAAACGCGTTCAAGAAAGAAAGATGAAATCGGTAGGAACATGAATCGCTTTGATCTATACAACAAAATCGACTTAGATATACGCATGTGAAAGTTTGAAAAAAAGAAAAGAAGTATTCCATTTCGAAACCATTCAATTTCATCTGAAACACCTCAATGATTTCAGGTCGAACCTATATATAACCACATACCCATAAAAAAGCTTTTCAGGAAAAGCTTACTATTTGGATTGGACTTATTTCTAACCCATATGGTATGGTTTCAATGGACAGATCGGCAAAGGAAATCTTACATAACAACGTATTATATTGAAGTGTCGTTGTAGGGATTATTGTAGTGATGGTGTAGGGTATTTAATGGTGAGCCATGATCTTAGTTTTTTTTTTTTTTTTTTTTTTAACTTTATGAATATATGTCTACGTACGTATATAAATGTATTTAAAAAATTCTATTCCATCCGGAATTATTAAATACAAAATTGTTTATCAATTAAAATTTGCATCCCTGTTCACCATAAAGCTATTCTCCACACTGTTTCCATAGGCGGCCAGATGTATCGCCTTCATCATTCCCTGCAACGAGTTTTCTTTTACATAAAAAAAACAACTAAGAATGCTATAGTTGGACAAGGCCGACCAAAAGATACTCTGCGCGAATTCACTTAATTAATAGCACACCAATAATGATGCAATATTTTTCATTAAAGCCATCGCGTTGGAGGATACCCAAACGTCAACTAACATGGCCTAAATTTAGAAAGCTTAATTTACTTGTCAAAGATTTTAGTATCATAAATGACGCTTTATCGTCATAAAAGGGGTTGCATTATCGATCCATGTGATCCAAATTCTCTATGATTGATTCACGAAGAAAAAACTTTCATCATAAATTTGCTAAAAATGTAGACCAAAGCCTTAATTGTCATTGGAATCCTTATATCCAAGAAAAAAGATCTACTTGGTCCAAATTCGGCAAGATTAATTTTCATCTTAAATTGTTATAATGAGTGAATTGTCATTAAAAAGGTATTGAAAATTAGGCATTTTTTACCATATCAAAATTCAGTTCGCATAGGAGCGGCTATATGGCAATGTGAGTTTACAAAGTTACTCCATCCAAACTTTAAGCTTTCGTTATGCTAATTTAGACCGTCGTAATACTATTACTTAGCGATTTTTATCGTAAAATTCTAAAAATTGCAATATTTTTTATCCTGCGGAGTGGTTGGCGAGCGGTTATCCTTGTTGGTTGAACATAAGAACGTGGTCTCCCATATCCTTTTGGGTGTTGCAATCGTCCGCACAAGTGATGTAGGGTTCTTCTTGAAGTGATACATTTTGCTTCGGAAACAGGGAGAGAACGGATATGCCTATATCAAATGAAACGACGACTATGACGTACCATCTTGTTGAAGAAATTTTTGTATAAAACCTCTTGTACAAATGTACAGCAAATTTAAAAACCTTATGGAATCAATCGTGCGATCATATATTTACTACCCCAGCAGAATTAATCAGATTATATTACGAAAAGATTTGGAAAGTAGGTTGAATTCTCTTCCAAGTAAGTTAATCCTCGAGGCTCGTATGAAAAATTCCGAGTAAGAAATTTTTAATCACCTCTACGATTTCTAGACCATCAGATATATTTTAAGGTCTTGAACCAATTATACAGTGACGTTTGTAATCAACACACTTGCCGCCAGATATGCTGCAATATTTTCATCGATTTATCACAGGAAACTTTGTTTGATTGCATGAACATCTCAAGTGTGGAGAAATGGAAATACAAAAATTTGTTTAAAAGAAGACTAAAGCTCTTATGCATATGTATAAATATGAACACTAGATATTGATAGTATATATCAATTTAAATGGCAGTCAATAATTCCCGGGACTGATACACAGACAACGTCTCCAATAAATCATGCATTTAGAAAATGCCAACCCGTCGAACAACTCATGTCATTTCAATATTTTGCACGCATATATATGTATATATGTATTTATTAATTTTATCTTCTATATATATATATATATATATATATATATATATATACATATATATATCTTCATTCCGTTGCTATGGTTTGTTTTTGTGCTGATAGAGCTTTTCATTAAAATCATCCTATGAACAATTATTCATTTGTTTCGAAAAATTTGTAACCAATTATTTTCAATCTATGGTTAGCTTTCGAAGTTAGACTACTCATATCTGCCATCGGAAAAGAAAATTTTGCATAATAACATACGTGTATATACCGTAACGCAACTCAATTGTTTTTAATTGAAAACAATGCACATTTAATGATGCACTTTCAAGTAAATTCTGACGGAGAAAAAAAAACCGAACGACAACAGGCTAAATGACCGACATTCATTTACTCTTTATTCACTGTCAACTAAGATCGAATGAAGCAAAAAACATACACATATATAACATACATGTATAAAACTCCTATTTAAGATGCATTTTATCAACGTCATCATCATGCTGCATTAAAGACATTCCGCAGTTAATGCAAGGCGTAGCTTGCTTTCTTTGTGACATTTCATTATTTTCTACTTAACACATTTCAATATTTTGCCATCTCGAAAATTATACCCTCGTTGAGATTTAAATTTCTCACTTCACATAGCATATCGTATATATATATATATATATATATATATTCTTTTAGAATAATTTACAAAGACTTCTGAAAAATAAAATTGTTCACCTGAAATTGTCTTAGACGAGTTCAACTATTAAAAAGCAACATGACTGTATTACGTGTCGAAAGATAAACAAACAAGATTCAATTTACTCATTCATTCCTTTTATCGGACTAGATGGCGTTCCCAATCTTTTTCATCCTGGATTCACCTACACGCTGACATGGCACAAGATCGTGATTTTTTGATTGTGCTTCTTTGACCACTAACGTAGCATATAGTTCTACATTTACGTCTAATGTTCGCAAAATCCACTCTCTCTCTCTCTCTCTCTCTCTCTCTCTTTCTCTCTCTTCATCCATCCCTCTCTTCTTATAGTCCTTTCTCATTACGACCGTGCCCACAGGTGAGGAGGATATCCCTTATGCAACAATTTATTTTAAAAATTCCGAGATAACGGGAAAGCAAAATATTTAAATTCTCTTTTCTAATTCAAGTTCATATCCATTAAATTTCCACTCCGTCAAAGCGTTTTCTAAATCGAAAAAAAAAAAAAAAAAACGCTTCAATTTCCTTAGGACTTTTCACATTTTCTCTCCTCTTTGAAAAATCAATTCATTTAGATTTCTCACTCGCACTCGTACAGTGTGCCTAATTGAAGGAATATCGAAAAGAAAAGAAAGGATTTTTCACTGACCTCAAAATTATCATTTTCGGTCCAGCGTGAAATGCAACGGTCTCACTTGGCTATACGTAGCTCTTCGTACAAAAGCTAAGAAACTAAATATTGGAAGAGATGCCTGTATTCACTGTATGGAACCGAAAACTAGCACTAGAAAGTGCTCAAATCGGCTGACCACAAGTTTTACATTAGTGAAGCACAATAAGTACAAAAAAGCAGTGTCATGGGAAAAGAAAAATTAATGTATCGTCCGCTTTTGCGATTAAAATATTAATAAAAACAACTTATGAAGCATATACGAATTACTAAAAAAAGAATGGGAAAGAACTCGCTCTCTTTCATATTTGCATTTATCAGCATTTAATCGAAAACTCTGAATCGATAAAACAAATAAAACTGCACTGTCAAGCTAACTAGGAATTATAATACATATCGAGACAACGATCTTAACTTAAGTCATATTATTAGCACATCGTTAAATAAATGAGAAAACATAATAAATCACTTATACGCGTAGTTCAACTTGCACTAAAAATATTGTACAACATGAATAAGTAGGTAACGCATTATATATATTAGGTTGGCGGTTAAGTTTTATCGTATTTTAAATAAAACATATAAATTTTATTTTATTTATTATTTATTATATAAGAATGATGACTACCGAATTGCTTTACAATTGCAAAGTGGTTAAGTATTGGTTATGCTCCAGCGTTGAGAGCAAAATGCCATAACTCGTCCAGATCAACTAACGAAATTTAACAAATTATCTTTGTCTTTAGTCCGAACATTTACAACTTTCAACTTTCCAATGTGTCATATAAGTTCTTACAAATAATGGATGCCTTGCTTCTTATCCGCAACTCCTACCGAATGCCGTGCTTTGAATGGACTTTTATTTAGCCTTCAATTCGTAACTAATTGATCAAAAATTATTAAAATTATAGTCCCCTTATATCCGAGCTAATAAGGCCGCCCTATGATGATGCACTTTACCATTTTGCCTTAACCTAACAAGTAAAATTACCTAACTAGGTGATGGTGATATAAAATATGATAGAATTTCTCTCTACCAGCCTATTATTATTTTACTCAATATTTATTAATTTAATTCGCTTTACTTTTAATTTGCAGGCTTGAAAGTCTTACCTCTTTTAAACAATATAAGGTAAGTGAATTATAATTAATTGAAATACATAATAAAGTTTGGTTAGTTTGAGTAAATGGGCGCATGGTCGCGCAGGTTTGTGTTTTTTTTTTTTTTTTTTCATTACTAGAATTAAAATTAACTTGATAAAATTAAAATTAACTGTGATAAAGTTAAACCAAGAAGTGAAAATCGTCTAAAAGCTATAGTGTATAGGGAAAAGGTTACAATATCATACCTCGCACTTGTGTATCTGTGTGAGAGAACTATATAAGAATTATTATTAAATTTTTATAAAGATGAACAAACGTTATCTAAATAAAGCAGACATGTGTCAATAATTCTCGTAATTCTAATATAATCACTCGATCTAATTAATTAGAATATTTTCGTAAGAAAAACCGCAAACGATGCATTTAACTTACTGTAGACAACATTTGAACAAGTTTCAAATGATTTTTTCAAATTAAATTTATTTATAATTAAAATTTTTCATTTAATTAACTTTAATTATAATGTAATTAAATTACTAATCCTTTTCAAATCAAAATTTGAAATGAAAAAGTTGTCTTAACCTGATGTTTGCAAATTCCCTCTTCACACATTTCAATCAATAAACATATATTTTCCACATAGAAAACAAGGGCACCGTTGATATTCTAAACCCCATCCTGGTCTGGCACCATTTAAAGTTTCCAACATTTTTGACCACAACCTTCCTCAGAACATTTTGACATTTGTTATTGACGGTGATTTGAAAAATATGCCACCAAGTCATGCATCGATCAACTTGCATAAATTTTTTGGCAATGAACGAGTTAAATGCCATTGCTGTCATTCTCGTCCATATCGCCCAAAATTATCGCCCTCCAACCTTAGGCATCAATTCAATCAACATAGCTCACAAGCATAATCATTTCGCCATGTAAAAGATTTGTTCTCGTTGGAACCCACAACAAAACAATACCCGTAACGATGCTCAAGAAATACAATAGCGATGCTTCCAAAAAAAAAAAAGAAAAAAGTGTTGTATAAAATTATGACAGATGAGAAATAAGGCATCTATATATATGAGCCGAAAAGTGAGTAGCATTTAACTGTGTGGACGTATTAAGATCAGCCAAATCCAACCAAAATTGCTCGTGGTCGAAGCCCTTGAAAAAACCAAAAAGATCAGCTTCTGATTTCAAAAAATAAGAAAACTTTTCATGCAGTAAGAGTGCCTTCAGGGAAACGTAAAACGGAAAATTCTGTACGGTGTACACAAATATTGGTTTGCCGAAAGCCCTCGTCTTCGTGACAATGGGAGCTCTCACACATCGTCTTCAACAATCGACTATTTATCGCCTTATTTATCACTTGGTCTTGATTTGGTTTCGGATGATTTCTCCCGATCGACGTGGAAGTGTCTCAAACGAAATGGGAAAAAAAGTGCTATAATAAATGGTTCGAACCTATGCAAAAGGAGAATGTTTTGAAAAAATTGATGTAATTTTTATTAGCGACTTTAGAATTTTTTTTTATTTTGCCCTCAAAATATAAATAGTTTGCCTTTTTTGAAATTTGAGTTATATTCTATAATCGATTCAATGCTTTTCTAATGTTACGATCACTTTTTATACTCAGCAAAATCAAACAAGTTTTAGAGATTCCATATAATATATCGTGTATAAAGTTGGTGAACGTCAAAATCGGAATCCACCTAAGCATGTCCATCTGTTCGTTGATTCATCTGTTAGTCGTCCCATCTGTTTAATGTCTATAATAAGCATTCTCCCCGACCCAAAAAATGAATATAATATCGATCTCAATTTTGGCAAAAATATTGAAAAGTTTTGCACACAAATCGATCAAAGGACACGTCCGCGATGCAATATATAAACTAAACGCAACTATGCTCTTTGCGTATTTCGCTTATTACTCATTAACTACAATGGCCACAAAATAAACATTTCCGAGTATATATTGAAGAAAAATCATTTAAATTGGCCCCATCCATTCAATATTATAGGGTATGAATGGAACAATTTTGAAATAAATTTTTTTTTGAATTCTTGGAACATTTGATGAGAGCTTAATGACTAATCTAAATGTGTTTGTGTCAATTCTATTAAAAGAACTTTTCTAGAATATCGTCCGCATATTTTAGTAGTGAAATACCCCACTCGAAAGGCTTCACATATACATATATATATATATATATATATATATATATATAGCCATTAATTATGTAAAAACAAATAAGAGTATTGTAGCCGGGCAAGGTCGACGATTAAATACTCTACAACATCGCATTCTCTAAGACAATTCTTATTTTAATTATAGAACACAAAAATGATATTTTGTTTCTATATGAAGGCATATTTTTCATGTGCGCATTTATGGAGAAGTAAAGTACAAGTTTAATCCTTACATAGGTTAGGATCCAAAACAAGGCGTAGATGGTCTAAATTTTATAAAGTTTATTTTTATATGAAATTACTGTTATACCACATATTAAAACTGAGACTTTTCTGCTCTACAAAGCATCAATTTTCGTAAAAATCTTTATAAACGAAGTATTCAAAAAATAGACCGAGATGCTCCAAATTTTGTACAGTTAATTTTTTTTATGTTAAATTAATATATAATTAAGATATAATTTTCATCGTAAATGGATAGACCTCATCAGACGGACAAGTGGACAGACGGACAGACAGGCTTAGATCAATCCAGATTAGGATTCTGAATGGATTGGTAGATCCAAGCCCTTAAGCCCTTCTGCGTCTTACGTATGACTGCAGTAAGTTAATATACCCCTGAGTTAATGTACCACAAGTGGTATAGAATATAATTAGATAAAGTTTTAATAAACATATACATAGGTAGACAGCAAAATAGATATATGTCGTTTTAAGTTGGTGGAGAGTATTCTTCTCCATTTCCTTCCTATTATAATTTTATACTCTACACCGCATGAGGTGCGGACGTATGTAGCTCGCAAAAGAGCTTAAGATAGGCCAAGCTTTTATTATACCGATCGATTCAGAATTAAAATCTGAATTCATCTAGGCCGATCTGTCCGTCTGTCCACCTGTCCGTCTGATGTCTGTCCATGTTCAATTTGTGTTTAATAGCCGGTCCAACTATAATGTTCTTACATGTTTTTTTGATTCGTCATTTATTTGTAAAGTCGACACAGTTCCGTACTTAAAAACGATTTTAGAGTTGTTTTAAGCCCAAATAGAATTTATAAAAAACTTGATTTCAAGTATATCACATGTTCCCAGGTGGATCGTAAAATAGATGTATATGTGTGCAAAAACTTAAAAAAAGTAACAATTTTTATAGAAATCAACTCTACAGTCAATAGCCGATCTAAGCATCGTTGTTTTTAAGGGAAACTTCGATACTTTCTCCCACAATTCTTTTTCATTGCTATAGGAAACTCGATTCTTTAGTTCTCGCCAAAATTTGTTAATAGAATTGAGATCGGAAAAACTGGTATCCAAGTTTTGCTACCGGAACCATGCTTTCATCAAATTGCATGAATGTTTCGGATCATTGGTCTGCTGAAATGTCCATTACAATAGCATTACAGTTTCGAATAAGTTTTTGTATCCAAATCTGTTCACAGTATTTGCTTACAAGACATATCGGATCGATATTTCTCCAACGAAAAGCAGCCCCGCAGTCCCGTACCTTAAGGTTTCCTCTCCTTTGCTTTACTGTTTTTTTTTTTTTTTTTTTTTTTTTTTGATAAACCCAATGGGGATTTCTTTTCCTTTTAACCAACGTAATATACATTTTCGCTCGCCTCAACCTTAAACAAATTTGTTTTTGTTTCACGTCGTTCCACTTTCTTTAGCCTTCCGGTCGACATCAATTTTTATTGGCTAAAGAAATATCTTAACTTTTCTTCAAAATAAATTTTCTGAGCAAATTAACTTTCCGAGCTATTCTTTTTGATAGATTGACGAGCGACGTTCGCCATTTCATCCGAAATTGCTTGGGAAATAGGAAAAGTTTTTTTAATTGTTACGCTCCGCTCTCAAAACACTTTTTAGAGATTTCAAATATTTATGACGAAATTTTGAAACCAACCTGGCGACACGGCAATATATTTTTAGGCTATTCGGTGATTACGAAGCTTATGAAGCACTAACCGCGACAACAATGTGCTAAACCCATCTAATGTTGTCCTAGAAACTAATTCATATTGCATTTCCTTCTCAACAAATACGATTTACTTTTATAATACGTTTTCATAGCAAAATGTTACAAAAACTTTACTTTTGCATAACTTTAATGAGAACGCATCTATTCTCTTCGTCGCTTTCCATAGCATATAAAAAAGCTACCTTAACCAACATAAAAGCCCTCAACGTCCTACTGCAAGACTTAACTCACGCGGGATTACCGGAATTAATTTTGTATCATGTTGCGGCATGTTGAGAATGTTGCGTGGGCTTTGTGGGCTGTGGAGTATTTTTTATAATTTCTACGGCATAAAACTGAAAAATGCATTTCGCAACTCTTTTGTCCGCCTGTATATATGTATATATACAGTATATATTTCTTTTTGTTTTTACTACAACCGAAATGCTCCATCTACGGATCTTCTTGATATTATATTTTGCTTCATTCCATGAACAAGTTCTCAACGCTACCCAATGAACACTTGTTTTGGCCAAAATTCTTCTATAATAACGGGAGACACGAATACAACTAACCAAAATCTTTATATATAAATATATATATATATATATATATATATATATATATATATATGTATATATGTATAAATTTCCTTAAGTAAATTGAAATTTTGAATGGATTTGTTTACATCTGTTTGTATGTCCGTCCATCCAATTTCCATAGTCACTTTTTTCACTGACAAAGTTTCAATTATTGCACAGACCGACCATAGCTACTAAGGTATTAAGCAAGAAATATAAATTAGAATCCCACAAAAGATATTAGTCTAAGATGTGATGTGTATATATATAATACGTAAATCTATTTGAAAATTCATTGCAAAAATGCATATGTTCGACTTGAGATCTCCTTTAAGGCCATTTCGCGTTTTCAGAAAATATTTATTCAAAATCGTAGCTTAGAATGAACGCATTATTCGCTTTGGAATAATTTATTGAGTATTTGTTCCTTTAAATCAAGTTAGTTCGCTTTTATTTTTGCTTAGCAACCTTTGACTGTCAAAAATGTTCGTTTCATTTATTATTTTCGTAAACAAATATGTGAAAATAAATTTAGAAAAACTTGAAAAATTGAATATGGCACATCACGTTGTGCATCATTACGTTCATCCGCAATTTGGAGAGAGGTGAACGTCAAATTAAACCTTAAACATAATGCAAATGAAAAAAAAAAAAAAACAAACATTTGAAAGCTAATCATAAAAAGAGCTCGCAAACAATATATCCGGCGTGGTGTTTATGAGATGATTGGCTTAGTAAGTTTTCTTCTAAAATATCCTCAAATGTCACGTGCTTTGCAAGCGAAGAGAACGAGCAATTAAAAACCATCATCTTTCAATTTGTTTAAAAGGCTAAATGCGAGCAGAATTAAGTGCGCGCGCACCACGTGTAAACGAAAATAAACAGATATAAACAACATTGAAAATATTTTACAAATAACACCTAAATAGAAGAATATAAATATCATAAGAAGAATATGAAGAATATAAAGAAGAAGAATAAGAAGAAGAAGAAGAAGTAGTAGTCAACTTACTACTGACTACTGACTGACTCAAGATTTGGCAATGGGTCAACAACACAACTCTGCTCACGACTACTTAGCCTACTCAGCCTACTCTGGTACATTCGCTCTGCCTCTGCCTATTTTAGTGCTCTTTGCGACTCGGTTAGAGTCATAAAACAGCAAAACAGCAAATATTTAATCAAACATTTCAGTTGTGGGAAAAGGGCGAATAAAAGTGGTTTTGCATTTTAATCCAAAATAATTCTCAAATGTAAAATTTAAACATTATTTTACAAAAACAACATACCTAAAAAACGAAATGTAATAATTTAAATAAAATAAATAAATAAATAAATAAATGATAAATAAATAAATAAAACTCGAAAAAAAAAAAAAATGAAAAATAAAAATAAAAATAAAAAATAAAATCCCAAAGGGAAGAATGAAAACGAAAAAAGTGAAGCAAACGAATATATATTTAAACAACTCCTCCTGTAATGGTCAAGTGCTTAAGAAATTGATAATAAGAAGAAGTGCACACTCGATATACAATATATTTTATAAGTTTTGAAGAAAATTGAAAATGAATGAAAAATAAATGAAAGATATTTGTGTGTGTATAACATTTACGGTCATCGGTCCACATACATATGTACATATAATGTAAAATAAATATTTTTTACGATTTCCTCCTTTTTTTTGGCGTCAACTCCAAGATTAATGCCAAGGCCCTCCGTCTCGATACGTGGTGTATAAAATACATACATAGTTATAAGCAGTATTTATATTTAACGAATCCGTCCCTAGGAAAGCTGTGTCGTGGAGACAACAAAATTGCAACGTCTCGGCTGTGCCGCTTTTTGTTGTTCCTTATCAAAATATAATTTAAAAAATTTTCAGTTGCTGGCAAACTTAAAGTAAGTTTTATTTCTTTTTATCTCTGTGCGTCAGTGACTGACTGACGTGTGCGTGTGTGTGTGTGTGTTTTGTATATGTGTATGTATGTATATGTATGTGCATGTATACCCGTTTGTTTCCTTTTTTTTCGGCTATATTTTCGAATGGCTAGACAAACAAAGTAACATATGTAGATGTATACATATGCGTTTGTTGTTCTTATTATTTTATTTATTTTTTTTTTTTGCGATTGCTTTTTAATACATACTTCAGACTTCCATTAAAAACTATCGCGAACTCACCCTTTCTCTCTTTTATAATCACCTTCATAAGGTAAATCAATTCATATTCACTTCATGTTCAATCCACCAAAACCGTTCTCCCAAAAACGGTGTCCGTCTATAGATCAATCAAAATGGCGCCGAATAATTCATAACTGAATCGAAAAAATTTGGCATTAATAACAATGGGTAGAACCGTTTTACAAGCAATAAACAAGTAAGAAAAGTAAACTCATCAAGGGTCGGATGGTAGTTATCTGACCAGTTATATGACCAAATTGCTTTAATAACCTTTTTTTTTTTTTTTTTTTTGTAACGATATACGTTATAGATTTTATATTTATTAAAAAGCAATATTTTTAAAAGTTTTTCAATAAACTGCTAGCCTGCATTTAAGTAAGTATTTTTGATCACCAACTTAAGTAAGCAGATATACATATGCCTTGTGCCGAAAACGGCACTGTACATATCATGTTCTTTATCAAGGACACTAATGAGATGTGGGCATCATCTAAGAACTCATACGAAAACTTGATTAGCAACAGCCATTAATTAAGAATGGGAGATATATTCAGATTATTCTCATATCGTTTGCAACACTCTACAAACAGACTTCAAGGCAAAAAACTCGACAATTTTAAATTAATAGAGTAGTAGAGCAGATCAATATTGATTGATTGAAGATAAGCATTTGTTGTTGACCGCTTTTAGGCGTTCGTATTTTTAATTAAAATCTGGAATTTGAAAATATATATATTTTTATTTAATTCGACAATTAAAGCACATAAAGTCTAAAAAGCTGAGAAAATTTTTAAGCTTTCGATTTATGCTCGTCATTCACAATTAAACACTTTACTTTACCGGACATCTATTTAAGTCTGGATAAGTTTTAATTAAACCCTATTCTTAATTATATAATAAATATGAAAATGTACAAGCTATGTAGCTATGTATTGGTTTCAATTTTATTTTTTTATTGATGATTCGTTTAATGAAGTGTTTGAAAAATGTTGATAACTTTGTCATTTGAAACAAGACATTTACTGAGGAAAAATGCAACATTTCACAATATTTTTGGCAACGTGACGATATCATATCGAAAGAACTTGGTTTGGCAGCGATCCACCCGCCGACTCATTTTCACACTTCTTCAACTTTGTTGTGGACCCAAACCCTGCAGCATCGATCTGAATAAATGGTAATGAAGAGATATTTTGGCTGGCGAGTATACTGGATGTGGCAGAGCTTCCCATTCGCGCTGCCCTGGACAACTCATGGAACAATTGGCCAAAATGGCATTTTCATGCCAGCGAAGCAAGGATACTCAGGAGACGCCATATCTGACGATTGCGCTGAGTATGGTAGAACTTCTCTTGTCGAATTGCAACAGTGTAACCTAAAGAATTTAAGAACTCTTGCAACAAGTAGCCAAATGTCGTTGTCATTTTCAATAAATTCGTGTCGATTAGCATCACCTCTCAAGCCTCTGAGCATGTTTGTTGGCTTTCGCCAGCAGATTTTTTTTAAATAAACAACAAAATTAATGAATTTGAAAGAAGAAGAGCTTTGAACTATCCATGATTAGCGTCGGCATACGCTCAATAAATCAATAATTTTAAATGGAAAATTTTTATTTTATGTAGGGGAAGATCGAAATTATCGCATTCAACTGGTATTTCCTAATTCTTTATCGGTTTTACCTGTGGAAGTTGCTGATCAAAATTTTTGCAAACACCTCATAGATATATTTTTGAAGGGAAAAAATGCATTAATAAACGAATCCTTTTTTTAAATTGATTGCAAGCATTTTTTGTAAATATTTCTATAAAAATTTTCGAAAAAAAACAAGGTTCCTTGTGATATTTCGTTTGCGTGATATTTGTGAGAGCGTCGTAATAGTTATTTAGCATATCAGTCGCTTTAGATATTTTATATAAACTTTGTTTTATTTATAAGTTT